GGCTGACCGCAGGGCCTCCGCCCGGGGATGGTGTGGGGGTGCTGAGCAGAGCCGGGGAGAGGCGGCTCCCAAGTGTCTTGGTGCCAGCTGTCCTTGGAGTGACCTTGGGGAGGGCAGGAGTCCCTAGATCTTGGCCTGGCCCCCTGTGTGCGTGGTTGGGGGTACTGGGGCCCGAGAGCCCTGAACTGACCTGGGTGCCAGCTGGGCTGCTCTACTAGGCCTTGGGCTCTGGCTCTACCAGGCCCAGGTGCAAGCTGCTGACATGGCACTTCCCCATCCCCATGCAGCTGCCGCCCCACATGCCCGGGTGCCTGGGCAATCTACAGATCAGGCTCCTCTTCCTCACAAGCGTGGGCCCTGGTGCCCGGAGAAGGGGGGTGGGATGAGGCCTCTCAGGTAAGAGAACGGATGGTGGGGCCTCACTCTGGATGGATGATGGATGGATGCACAGACAGATAGGTGGATGGATGGATGGATGGGTGGATGGATGGATGATGGATGGATGGATGGATGGATGGATGGATAGATTGGTGGATGGATAGATGGATAGATGAGGGGGTGGATGTATAGATGAATAGATGGATGGATGAGTGGGTGGGGGGATGGGTGGGTGGATAGATGGATGGACAGCCAGCTATCCCCTGGGTAGTGATCCCTCTGAACCTCTCGGCCTCAATGATGGACAGGTTCTGACCCCCTGGCCCTGAGACACTCCAGCAGTGGGCATCAGCAATACTCAGACTGGGCCAGGTGTGGACAACCCCAATGGGCTGAGAGGGTCAGAGCGGTGTGGCTGGTTGCCTCCCTGGCACTGTCCACCCCACCTGCCTCTCTCCCCTTACGTGGGCCACCTGGTCCCGGCACACTACCCAGATGTAGACCTGTGCTGCCTGCCCACTATCCTCAGCTCAGGCCCCATCCAGCTGTGGGAAGGGAGAGAACACCATGTCCCCAGACACGGCCTCAGAGGTGGGCTAGAGTGCGAAAAGGTGCCAGGACTTTTTTGAGTTTAACACTTCTGCACCGACATGTTTACTCTGTCTTGGGAGGCTGCCAGATTTTGACCATGAAGACTTCAGCAACGGAGGCTCTGAGCAGAGCCAATCTAGAACGCCCAGGGTCCAGGCCAAGGTCCTGCCAGCTCTGCAGGGGGCTCCCCGGACACAGAGGGCGCAGGGCCCAAGGTCAGGCCAAGTGCAGGCCCAGTGAGAGGAGGGGGAGTAGGGCAGACACCCCCCCCCCGCCTCCCACTTCACACATGTCCACTCACCCACCCACCCACTTATTTTTATACATCCATTCTCATGACCACTGTCTATCTCCCTCCCTTCTTCTTTTTCATCATCCATCCATCTATATCCATCTTTCCACCCATGTATCTACCACCCACCCAGCCATCCACCCACTGTCCGGGCAGCATGTGTTTATCTGACCAATTCTTCTCCCATTTACTCTTCACACAGCCATTTCCTGCCCATCTACCTCTCATTCCTCTTCAGGCCCATCCATCCATCCATCCATCCATTCATCCACCCTCCCATTCATCCATCTCTTCATGCATGTATCCATCCATCTGTCTGTGCATCCATCCATTCATCCATTCATCCATCCATTCATTCACCCATCATCCACCCTCTCATTCACCCATCTCTTCATGCATGTATCCATCCATCTGTCTGTGCATCCATCCATTCATCCATTCATCCATCCATTCATTCACCCATCATCCACCCTCTCATTCACCCATCTCTTCATGCATGTATCCATCCATCTGTCTGTGCATCCATCCATCAATCCATCTGTCCACCCATCCATTCACCCATTCATCCACCCGTCCATCCACCCACCCACCCACCCCCAGGTCTGTCTGTCCATCCATCCATCATCCATCATTCAGACATCTGTCCATCCATCAAACCCTCACTGAGCAACTCCTGGGTACTAGGATGGGGCATGACCCCAAGACAGGTCTTGTCCTCAGGGGGTGCACAGACCAGAGGGGCACACTGTTTTGGGTGCTATGAAGTTTCTCTCAGGCCAGTCAAGGGGGAGACATCACAGACACTCTGGAAGAGGAGGGCTGTCCCCCACCCACCATGTGTGCTGGGATTTAGGCCACCACACCCCTCAGATCCAAGGGTCTAATCCCAGGAGCCACGGGACAGGACTGGGTGTCTGGATCTAGAGGCTAGAGGCCTGCATCCCACCACCATGTCGGGGTGGCCCTTGCCCCACCGGCCAGCCCTTCTCCCATGTCCCTCCCCCCAGTTAGTGAGCAGCGAAGGGCCAGCGTGTGGGGACAGAAAGAGCTTTATTGCACAAATGAAGGGGCTGCAAGCAGGAGGCAGGGAGGGACGCAGGGCCGGAGTGTCCTGCACAGGCATCGGTGGCTCCTGACGGGGATGTCCCCTGGCTGGTGTGCTCTCTGCACAGGACACCCCTGCCTCGTGGGTGTGTGGCCTCTGGGGATGGTCCCCTTAGCCAAGCACCAGCGAGAATCCCATTCCTCCCGGGCTGTGAGAGGCAGAGCCGGTGGGTCAGGGAGCGGAGGGGAGAGAGGCCGGAGGTCCAGGGACAGAGGTGGTGGCAGTGGCAGGTGTTGGAGGGGTGTGGGCAGCCAGGCAGGCAATGGGAAGCGGCTTCTTCGGCAGGGCTGGGTGGGCATCTGGCTGGACTCCCCGGGAGCATGGGTGGGGAGTGTGGAGGGAGCCCCCAGCCTGCACCCGGCTCAGGACAGCTGAAACACAGGCGAGGGGGTGTTAGGCTGCAGTCCCAAGGGGCACCCTGCCCCACCCAGCCTCCAGCCCCGCTCTGGTGGCCACCCTGGCCTACCCACAACCCTTCCCACCAAGAGCAGCCCCTGCTCCAGTCTCTGCCTCCCCTTGGAGGTCTGCTACCCGGAGGCAGAGCGCTTGAGCCCTGGGCCTTGCTGGGGACTCAAGGCCCAGAGTATGTTGCCCATCACTGCTGGCCTGGCAGCCCCCCAGACATAGATCTGGGGTTCCTGTGGTTGCTGGGGTCCCAGCCTCTCAGAGGCAGACAGCAGCCCAGAATGAGCCAACGGCAGACCCCTCCCCGGGCCCATCCCTTCCTGCCTGGAGGAGCCAGCGGCCCCCAGGCCTCCCTCCTCCCCCACACCAGCGGCCTCTGGCTCGGCCCAGACACCATTTGTCAACGTCCTTGCTCGCACATGGCGCCCAGAAACCAGGGCGGGCGGCTTGGCCGGGACCACCCTAGCCAGGAGGTCTGCGGGAAGGTCCGTTTAGCATAGCTCAGCGAAAATTGCTCCCACCTCTAGGCCCCTCGACCTCTGATGATGCAGCCCCTCACTCAGAGCC